CTATAGGGCTATGAGGTTATGGGGCTATAGGGCTATAGGGCTATGGGGCTATAGGGCTACAGGGCTATAGGGTTATAGGGTTATAGGGCTATAGGGCTATAAGGCTATAAGGCTATAGGGAAATAGGGCTGTAGAGCTATTGGGCTATGGGGCTGTAGGGCTATCAGGGCTGTAGGGCTATAGGGCTGTAGGGCTATAGGGCTATAGGGCCATAGGGCTATAGGGCTATAAGGCTATAAGGCTATAGGGCTATATCCTATAGGGCTACCGGGCACCGGGGCACTCGGGCACCCGGGCACCCAGGCACCCGGGCACCCGGGCACCCCCCGGGCACCCGGGCACCTCTGGGCACCCGGGCACCCGGGCCCGGCCACCGAAATCGGCGACGTAGCTCACCTACCCATGAATCTGCTAGAACCCCTACAGAGGCAAGCTCTGATTGGGGAATCTGCCACCTGGCCTGCCACTCCAGTCGAAATACCCTCACACCCCTGGCATAAAACTGCAAATGAAATCTCCTCAGCCCCCCTGGCGTAAAATTGCCTACCAAATATCCTCACCCCCCTGGCCCAAAACTGCCAGCGGAGTATCCTCAGCCCCCTGGCCTAAAACTGCCAGCGAAATATCCATACTCCCTGGCCTAAAACTGCCAGCGAAATATCCTTAGCCACCGGAGATGAAACTGCCAGCGAAATATCCTCACACCCCTGGCCAAAAACTGGCAGCGAAATATCCTCCCCCCCCTATCCTAACGCTTCCGTCGAAATATCCTTACCCCCCTGGCACCGTAAAACTGCGAGCGAAATACCCTCATCTCCCGTGGCGTAAAACTACAAACGAAATGTCCTCAGCCCCCTGGCCTAAACCTGCCAGCGAAATATCGTCACCCCCCTGGCGTAAAATTGCCATCGAAATATCCTCACCCCCCTGATCTAAGACTGACAGCGAAATATCCTCAGCCCCCTGGCCTAAAACTGCCAGAGAAATATGATCACCCCCCTGGAAAGAAAATGCCAGCGAAATATCCCAAGTCACAAGAAATAAGAATGCCATCGAGATATCCTCACCCCCCTGGCCTGAAACTGTGGCCTAAAACTGCCAGCAAAAGATCCTCCGCCGTCGGAGAGAAAACTGCTATCTAACGGCTCGGGTGATTCTCTCAGTTCAGTTCAGTCAGTCTGTTCACGAAAATCAAATTACGGCCTGCGCCCGTAAATCAGGGTCCTGGACCCCATCCTTCTGCGGCACGTCTCGAGCCCAATCGATCCGTCAGGTTCCCCTGAGTCCGAACTGGGGCGAGAGCGCCCGTCGCGGTTTGTCGTTATACGCGAAGCCCAGATTGAGGAAGGGGGGCTGTTGTGGACAGCCTGGGCTACCTCTAAGGGCTGTTCTGCGCAATACATCGCCGTGACGAAAGTTTTCATGGCTCTGGGTTCGCAGCGACTGCGAATCGACGGAGTAGTACCCACTCCGCGTGCAAACACATCCTGTGCGATGAATTCTAGAAGTTGGCACAGGGTAGTGTCAGGCGCCTGCTTGAAGAACACACAACTAGAAGCCACAAGGGGCCGAAACTATTCCACCGAATGACGCCAGAGGCGTGTCATGCTGGGAATGTTGAGAGGGACGGAGGGTTCATATTGGAGGAGGAGGAGGAGGAGGAGGAGGAGGAGGAGGAGGAGGAGGAGGAGGAGGAGTGGGGAACGCTTGTCACAGCGGCGTACTGAGAGTTACCAGTTCTCGCCACCACCCTCACACCCCCTCCCTGGGAGCCGGCGGAGCAGCGCAGATCGCGCTGGGATGTCGGCATGATTGGCCATGTATCCACAGGGCAAAAGGGAGTCTGCACGGCGGAACTGTCCAACACCTCTTTTGAGGAGGGGCGGAGGGGGGAGGAGGGGGGAGGAGGGGCATATAGGGGGGAGCCGGGGAAGCCCAGACGTCTGGCGACTCGAGAGAAGGCGCGCCGAAGTGTTTCGCGCTTCTCGCCGTCCGGTAACCGCTCCTGGGCCCTGGGACCCTCAGCAGATGGAGGGGGTGGCAGGGGAAGGGGTCTAAGGATGCAGGGGGCAGCGACTCGAAGACAACGAGAGCAGGGGAGAGCAGGGGAGAGTAGGGGAGGGCAGGCGGAGGGGAAAAGAGGAATGGAAGTCACGCAGCTGTGCGGAGTCCCTGGCCCCACATCCGCTGCCGGTGGCCGAGCCGCACAGGAAGCTCAGCGTTGCCACAGCCACGGCAGCCTGCGGTGACCCGGCAGCCACGAAGGCGGCATGGCACAGCGCAGGACCGCCCAGCCCCAGCACCGTGGCCGCACGGCGCACGTACAGGATACCGCAGAGCCTCCTAGAGGTCACGTGGTCGGCGACGTATCCTGCTCCAATGCCGCCGCTGGAACTCGCGACCATGGGCAGCGCGGCGAACGAGAGGCTCTGCAGAGGCATGCCTAGAACCTCGTGCAGGTACGAGGGCAGCCACGAGCTTAAGGTGTAGTTCGTCCAGTTCTGGCCGAAATGCGCTGCGCAGATGGCGTGCAGCGGCCGGCAAGTGATCATTCGCCACCACAGGGCTTCTCCCTCCGACGTCGAAACCTCCTCTTGTCGCGGGTCACTGTCACCCATCGCCTTCCAATCGTCCCGCTCGCCGTAGCCCCGCCCAGCTGCCGTGAAGGAGCTCCAGGACAGAGCGCTGGCAACGAGGCAAACGGCGCACCACAGCACGCCGGCGGAGCCGAAGACGGTGAACGTCTCCGAGGGCGTCATGCTCGGGCAGACGAGCAGGGCGACCACCTGCCCCACGGCGCCGCAGCCCAGCACGAGCGAGAAAGCGCGGGAGCGGAAGCGGGGCGGCACTGTCAGCGTGACAAACTGGAAGGCGGCGGGGAGGCAGAAGCCTTCGGCCAAGCCCATGGCAGCACGGCACAGCATGGCCGAGCGCAGGCCCATCCTCGCCGCCGCCGGGGTCAGCACGGTGCAGGCCGACCAGGACAGCACCGCACCAAAGAGCAGACCAAAGGGTGGCACCTGCGTGGAGGCCCAGCCGCTGGGCAGCTGCGAGACAATGTAGCCCCACGCGAAGGCACTCACGACCAGGCCCCTGTCCATCATGGACCAGCCGAACTCTTCGGCCATGGGTATGACAGCCACTGGCATGATCGCCCGATCTGCCTGGTTCAGCCCATTGGCGAGCGAGGCGAGCACAACCGCACACAGGGGCCCCAGGTGCTGCCGAGCTCCGTCGGGTGCCTCCTGCGCCCCGCGCGAAGGCCGAAGCCCTGCCGCGTTCGAGGCGCTGCTGCCCAGGATGCACGGAGTCACCGCGCAACTCGTGCTCGTGGCGCCGCCTCGGCCGTGATGCTGCGGGATCAAATGTTCCAGCTCGATCGCAAGTGCATCGCCATAAGATCCCTGACCGCCCTGGGAGGCTCCTCTGGGAAGACGGCCGCCCACTGAGGCACTGGTGCTGGCGCTGGGGTCCATGCTCAGAGATAGACACGGCTGGAGCCACAAGGCGAAGGAGAAGTGCAGGCTATTGCTCTGCGGCATACTATGCTGGCGGCACAACTTATACCAATGATGGTGACGACGGTGACGACGATGACGATAACGATGACGATAACGATGATGATGACGATGATGATGACGATGATGACGGCGATGATGATGATGACGATGATGATGATGATGATGATGATGATGACGACGATGACGATGACGATGACGATGACGATGACGATGACGATGACGATGACGATGACGACGATGATGACGATGACGATGACGATAATAATGACGATGACGACGACGATGACGATGACGATGACGATGACGATGACGATACTGATGACGGCGAAACATATGCCGACCAGCCGCACGCTTGCCTCCGATCGACTGTCTACGCCACGCCGCCGCGCGCATGGCCGAAACGCCAACAAGTGTGTGTTGCTCCCCTTTCATCGCTGCTATTCCTGTCTGCCGCACCCCTCCTGCCACCATCTCTCGTTCCGCTTCTCTCTCTCTCTCTCTCTCTCGCCTGCGCTCGCACGCCTAACCACCGATGACCCACCGCGGAGCAGAGATCACGGTCGTCGAGAAGAAGTGTCTGTGCGTTTGGGTAGCCGTGTGTGAAAGTGCGTGCGCGTCACAATGGGGGTCCCAAAATATCTGCGCAGCAACTTAAGACAATTCAGTCACATCGGCACTGATGATGGTGCTGTTTGTGTAAGCGATATCAGCAAGCTTCAGACGGGAAAGGAAGCAGCAGGAGGGATAGAAGCAGTTGGACCTACGCCTTGCAACAACGGCAGCAGGGCACGGACGAACAAGGTCTGTGCCTGGAGGCATTCCATGTATGTGTAATCCGATGTGTTCGTTGCCAGGGTACCAATCTAAACATTTACACACGCAAGCTGCTTCGCAACAGAACACAAAGTAGGCCGCTTGTCATCCTGATCCGTGTACACGCGCACTTGTAATAATTTTACTGAGTTGCGTGCCATATACATTACTCAAACAATCACCAACTCACAACTAAAAACAACCATTCTGTCCGAGCTCAGCAGAACAGACAGCGTACGCAAACACATACTCATTATTCCCACCTCTCCTCAAGCAGGCTCGGGATGTACAAAACTGTAACAAGAAGGCAGCGAAAAAATGCGCCCAGCTATGCAAAAAGCGGAATGACCCGTTGCCCCTTGGATGATCCAGATGACCTGTGTGAACATGTTGCATTCGTCCTCTGAAGCTCTTCGTTGTGTGGGTGGGGAGGTGCTCTGAGGGCCGCAATGGCCTCCAACGATATCGGGAAACGCTTAACGAGGAAAACCAGATATCGGACTAACATGTGCTCCTCCTGCTCCTCCTCCATCTCCTTCAGAGTCGCCCCCAGGCCTCTCCAGGACTTGAGGCGAATCTGGCCGTTGCGACGATGGACCCCCTCGAGGGCGCCAACCCTTAGAAAAAACACCAAAAATCCCTCGTCCACAGATCATCGATCCCCTGTCACTGCCAGTCCTCGGTGTAAAGCGGGAACGTCGGACCCGGCGTGCCGGGCTGCTGGATGAAGAAGAACTTGATGGTCTCGAGATCCAGCCGCATCGCGAGCGACTTGGCGCCGGCGCTAGCAAAGAGCCGCACGAAGGAAGCTCGAACGAGCAGAGAGGCTGAAAGATCGGCACGCCTGGAAGGGCTGGGCGGACGGGGCGGGAAGAGCCCACCGCAGAGGAGCAGGGGGACGACGACAACGCCGAGGGAGGAGGCAATCTGTCTCGAGGGGGAGGAGAGGGTGGGGCAACTGAAGGGGGTCTTGAGGTTTTTTGTTCACTGGAGGAAGATGAACAACAGCAGCCGCTGGAAGGGGAGGATGAAAAGCAAAAGAGGAGTAAGGAGGGGAGGAGGAGAACGACGACAGGAGAAGTTGCAACGTCACTTCTGCCCTAGATTTTCTGGGAAACAAACTTATGGCCTTTTCCTCTTCCTCCTATCCTCTTCCTCATCACCCCCTCCCTCATTATTATGCCCCTCCTTCTTTGCTCCTCCCATTCATCATCCTCGTCTTCCTGTTCTTACCCTTCCCTCACCCTCATCCTCATCATCACTTTCCACCTCCATCAGCTTCCCTGCCTTCAACTGCATCCAGTCCTCAAACGCACTCACGGGAGCCTTCATCAGGGTGATGTAGTGGGCAAGTATGTCTTCGTCCTCGAAGTCCAGGCTCGTCTGAATCAGCCTGTGGCAGTCGCGCACGGGAGGGCAGCAGGAAGAGCAGGAGGTGCAGGATGACTAGCTGGTGGTGCACCGCCTACGTGTCCATGCTGACAGTGGATTTGGGAGGGAAGCAACCACCTGCAGTCGGCGAGGGGAGCACGCGTGCTCCTGGCTCCCCATGTTTCCGACGTCGTGAGATTTGCCCACAGCGTCGACACCCTGAGGCTTAGACCCTTGCACCGGGACCAGCTCTTCAGCCCGAGTCGTTCTGTGGCCGTTCCGGGGCCCAGCGAGTGCCCCCGGAGACCGAAGATTACCAAAAACCTCCCGTCGTGCCTTCGTTTGTCGCAACGAGAGGAGGTGGGGGTCATCTGGGGCCCCCGAGCCCGGCCGAGGTCTGAGCACTGCCCCCGAGAAAGACACGCCAACCCGAAGGCCGTGGCCCAGCGGGACGGCGGATCGGATGCTCGATGACCCTCAGAACGCGAGTTAGCGCCAACGTGTGCTTGTCCACTGGACCCCGTCACTGCGACGCAGGCAACGTAATGAGGGCCGACGCGGGCAGCGTACTATCGGCAGAGCTGAACGAGGGAGCAAACGCACACACACACACAAACACAAACAGACACACACACACACACATTCACACACACACACACACATTCACACACACACACACACACACACACACACACACACACATATATATATATATATATATATATATATATATATATATATACATATATACACATATATCGGAGGTGAGGGGGTGAGATCGAAGTGGAACGGAGAGCCCCCCCTACCGCGAAATCGATTTCGGTTTCGTGTTCGTGCGTGCCGTGCGTGCGGGCGAGGCGAAGCTGCGTGGGCGGGCGAGAGGAAAGTCTCCTGTGGCTGAGGCGCGGCCGGACCAAATGATTCTCCACCGGGCGGCCGGTGGCGCGCGGTGTCCCGCCGGTGTCCCGGTGGTGTCCTCTGTGGCTGAGGCGCGGCCGGACCAAATGATTCTCCACCGGGCGGCCGGTGGCGCGCGGTGCCGGTGTCCCGCCGGTGTCCCGTCGGTGTCCCGTCGGTGTCCCGATCATGATGTTGATGATGATGATGATGATGATGATGATGATGATGATGATGATGATGATGATGATGATGATGATGATGATGATGATGATGATGATGATGATGATGATGATGATGATGATGATGATGATGATGATGATGATGATGATGATGATGATGATGATGATGATGATGATGATGATGATGATGATGATGATGATGATGATGATGATGATGATGATGATGATGATGATGATGATGATGATGATGATGACGTCGATTGCGAGATCGATTGTGATATTGGTAGTGAGACCGAATGTGAGACCGATAGTGAGACCGAATGTGAGACCGAATGTGAGACCGAATGTGAGACCGAATGTGAGATCGATAGCGAGATCGATTGAGTGAGACGTTGGTTCCCCCTCCCCCCTCACCTCCTTATCACCCGCAGGGTGGTCGTATAGGTATATATATATATACACACACATCTATATATTTATGTAAAAATACACACAAATTGGCGGTACTGGGCCTCGCGCGCAGCGACAAGGCGGAGTCAATGAGCATACGACGCGCGGGGTCGCGGCAAGGCCCTCAGGAACCGTTTTGGACCCCGCAGCACCTACCGCCATAAAGCACATCAGGGCGTGGATGGCAGTGAGGTGGCACGCCAGCCAAGAGGGCCCTGCCCGACGTGGCTCAGCCTGACAAAAAAGAGGGGCACATCCGGGCGTTGATGGCAGGGAGGGGGCACCCCGCTCCGGCGAGACATGCGCGGACCGGGGAGGGTGGAGGTGAAGCAACCGAAGAAGGCAGACATGCAAGTCACAGTCGGGAAGGAGCTGGACGCGAAACCGAGGACGGCTCGGAGCCATCCTGCTGTGGGAGGCGCGAGGCTGGGGAGTGTCGCCAGGCGGACAAACGTGGAGACCCTGGCACCACCCCCACCATGAGTTGCAAGGGGGGTTAGAACCGGGCCACCCTCCCCTCCCCCACCTGTGCGCGTCGTCTTCATCGTCGCTGGTCGCCGTCGCCGTCGCCGTCGCCGTCGCCGCCGTCGCCGTCGCCGTATGCGTCGCCGTCGCCGTCGTCGCCGCCACCGCCACCGCCACCGCCGTCGCCGCCGCCGTCGCCGTCGCCGCCGCCGTCGTCGCCGCCGCCGCCGCCGCCGTCGTCGTCGTCGTCGTCAAGTTGTCGCCGTCGTCGTCGTCGCTGTCGTCGTCACAATTGGTCGCCGTTACCGCCGTCGCCGTCGCCGTCGCCGTCGCCGTCGCCGCCGCCGTCGTCGTCGTGGTCGTCGTCGTCGCCGCTGCTCGACGGCACCAGCGCCGGCGCTGGCACTCGCCATCGTCGGTTGCAGGGGGGGGTCCCTCCCAATTCGACCTCTCCCCCCATGCAACTCAGGGGGGGGGCCTTGTGCGCGCCGCCGCCGTCGCCGCCAACGCCGTCGCCATCGCCGTCGCCGTCGCCGTCGCCGTCGCCGTCGCCGTCGCCGTCGTCGTCGTCGCTGTCGTCGTCGTCCTCGTCGGTCGCCGTCGCCGCCGTCGCCGTCGCCGTCGACGTCGCCGTCGTCGTTGTCGTCGCTGCTCGACGGCGCCAGCGCCGGCGGTGGCGCCCCTCACAATTCGAACCCCCCCCAGTGCAACTCAGGGGTGGGGTCATGTGCGCGCCGTCGCCGTCGCCGTCACCGTCGCCGTCGCCGTCGCCGTCGCCGTCGCCATCGCCGCCGCCGTCGCCGTGGCCGTCGCCGTCGCCGCCGCCACGGCCGTCGTCGTCGTCGTTGTCGTCATCGTCGTCGCCGTCGCCATCGTCGTCGTCGTCGGTCGCCGTCGCCGCCGTCGCCGTCGCCGTCGCCGTCACCGTCACCGTCGTCGTCGTCGTCGTCGTCGTCGTCGTTGTCTTCGTCGTCATCATCGTCGATGTCATCGTCGTCGTCGTCGTCGTCGACGGCGCCAGCGCCCGCGCTGACGCTCGCCGTCGTCGGTTGCAGGAGGGACCCCCCTAACCCCCCCTTGCAACTCAAGGGGGGGGGCCATGTGCGCGTCGTCGTCGTCGTCATCGCCGTCGCAGTCGCCGTCGCTGTTGCCGTCGCCGCCGCCATCGCCGTCGCCGTCGCCGTCGTCGTCGACGCCCGCTGGCACCAGGGCCGGCAGCGGAGCCAGAGGGGGGTGCCCCTCCAGGTTCGAACCCCCCCCCCTGCACCTCAGGGGGGGGGCCCTGTGCGCATCGTCGTCGTCGCCGTCGGCGTCGCCATCGCCGTCGCTGTCGCCGTCGTCGCCGTCGCCGCCGTCGTCACCGACACCGTCACCGTCGCCGTCACCGCCGCCGTCGCCGTCGCCGTCAACTTCGCCGTCGCCGTCGCCGTCGAAGTCGTCGTTGTCTTCGTCGTCGTTGTCTTCGTCGTCATCGTCGCCGTCGTCGTCGTCGCCGGGCGGCGTCGCCGTCGCCGTCGTCGTCCTCGTCGTCGTCGTCGTCGTCGCTGCTCGACGGCGCCAGTCGTCGCTGTCACCGCCACCGCCGCCGTCGCCGTCGCCGTCGCCGTCGACGTCGCCGTCGCCGTCGCCATTGCCGTCGCCGTCAGTGCCCGCCGGCGCCAGGGACGGTGCCGGAGCCAGGGGGGGTGGGGGCACCTCCCGGTTCGAACCCCCCCTGCGCCTCCGAGGGGGGCCCCTGTGCGCATCGTCGTCGCCGTCGCCGTCGCCGTCGCCGTCGCCGTCGCCGTCGCCGTCGCCGTCGCCGTCGTCGTCGCCGTCGTCGTCGTCGTTGTCTTCGTCGTCATCATCGTCGTTGTCATCGTCGTCGTCGTCGTCGTCGCCGGCGCCGTCGTCGTCGTCATCGTCGTCGTCGTCGTCGTCGTCGTCGTCGTCGTCGTCGTCGTCGTCGTCGTCGTCGTCGTCGTCGTCGTCGTCGTCGTCGTCGTCGTCGTCGTCGTCGTCGTCGTCGTCGTCGTCGTCGTCGTCGTCGTCGTCGTCGTCGTCATCGCTGCGGTTGCAGGGGGATGCCCCCCTCGTCGTCGCTGCCCAGCGGCGAAGGCGCCGGCGCCAGCGCTCGCCGTTGTCGGTTGCAAAGGGGGAGGGCCCCCTCCTGGTTCGAACCCCCACCACCCCCTGCAAGTCGAGGAGTGAAGGGGCCCTTTTCGACCCCCCCCCCGACAGAGGGGTGTGACCCCCTCCCCAGATCGAACCCCCACCCCCCTTTGTCAGAGGGGGAAGCCCGTCCCCTTCGACCTCCCCCCCCTCCGCTGGACAGAAGGGGGGGACCCCCCCATGCCTCTCAGGGGAGGGCACCCCCTCTCCTGGTTCGAACCCCCTCCCCTCCTTGAGGGGGGGGGGGAGCCCCCTCCCCCGTTCGAACCCGCCCCGCCCCTTGCATCTCGGGGGGGGGGGGCCTGGTTCGAACCCCCCTTTTCCTTCCCAGCCTACGCGCTCTTTCCAGACTCACGGATCTACTGGGCGTTCTGGGGGCGCACTTGAGGTGTGCGGCGTGATTTGTTCCAAGGCCTGGGGAGGGTTCTTGGGGATTCAAACTTCCGACATGGCCGAAGACTGTCCTAGGGGCCTGTGCTCGAGCTGCCTTGGAGATCTCTTATGCCGTCTTGGAGGCCCTCGGAGCCTGCACAAGAGGACAAAATCGTCCAATATTGATGGATTGGATATCGTGCTTCACATGCTTCTTCAGAACTTCCAAGACGGCCCAAGAGGGTCCCAAAAAATCTCCACAAGACGGCCCGCGAGGCTCCCACGAGGGGCCATCCAGAAGAGAAGCAAGAAGACTGCTGGAGCCCTCCCCGCCCAGCGGCCCCCGAGAGACCCTCAAGAGGCCCCCGAGAAGCCCCTAGGAGGCCTCAGGGGGGACCTGAGAGGCGCCCAAGAGACCCCCAAGAGACTCCCAAGAGGCTCACCTGGAGCCCCCGAGAGGCCTCCACACGGCATCTGGCTCACGACTCAGACACGGTGGCAGGTTGGTCCAAAGGCCAAGGATGAGCCAGGGCGTGCTCGGGGCCCCGGCCGGACAAGCCAATGGAGGCCGAATATGGAGACGACCGCCTGTTGACATGATTGTTGCTGAGGAGGTAGTACACGGACGTCCGCTGCGTGATGTTAGACACCTGGCGGTCGCAAAGGAGGCCACACTGAACTCTGAGAATGCAGTCGTTGTTTGTTTACCATCGCCAGCCCTTTCCTTTTAGAGCCACACTATCATTTCTTCGGCTGCCTCCGCACGACTCGGTCGGGGCACCCTCACTCCCTCACCATGCTCACTCGCATCTGACCCTGCACATGGGAGCATCCAATACTGACAAGTGTCACAGTCGTTTTTAGAAGCGCAGCAACACAAACTTGCACGTCGGCACCACCAGGAGAAGGAGACCCGAAAGGCATGGCACTCGCAGACCCGATAATAAGCACACAAAACCTGTCAGCACCACGTCGACAACCACCTCAGCGCAAACAAAGAACATCAACGACAGGCCAAGTGCCCTCCGAGGAAGGCCAGAGGGAAGAACGAGGGAAGAGCGGGGGGGTGAAATGGAGGAGGACAGTGTCTCGTTCCTTTTTCGCCCCTCCCTCCTCTCCTCTACCCTCTCCGCAAGCATCTTCCGTCCTCCCCGCTATTGCCTCCTCCTCCTCCTCCTCCTCCTCCTCCTCCTCCTCCTCCTCCTCCTCCTCCTCCTCCTCCTCCTCCTCCTCCTCCTCCTCCTCCTCCTTCCTCCTCCTCCTCCTCCTCCTCCCTCCTCCTCCTCCTCCTCCTCCTCTTCCTCCCAATCCTGCTCCTCCTCCTCTTCCTCCTCCTCCTCCTCCTCCTCCTCCTCCTCCTCCTCCTCCTCCTCCTCCTCCTCCTCCTCCTCCTCCTCCTCCTCCTCCTCCTCCTCCTCCTCCTCCCTCCCTCCTCCTCCTCCTCCTCCTCCTCCTCCTCCTCCTCCTCCTCCTCCTCCTCCTCCTCCTCCTCCTCCTCCTCCTCCTCCTCCTCCTCAAATAGCGGGCCGCCGCCCGCGATCGTTTCTGGTTTTTATGCGCCGTAAACTCAAGAGCTCTGTGAACCAAGTGTCAACGGCCTGAGCGGGTAAGAGCGGCAGTGGCAGGGGCAAGCTGGGAAAAGGGATGATCGCAGATGAATTTCAACACCCGTCCTCGATCATCTAGCTACATTATTCGAAACCGATCAGTCGACCGCTCAAACCAACGTCCGTGAAACCGATCTCGGCGGAAGGGGCGCGGAAGCGCCGCGGAAGGGAGTCGAGGAACTCGACTCGCACATGAAAGTAGCCTGCTGCGCGCCATCACTCACCCTGGGTGTGGTTCTGCTCTGAGCGTCGCGGGCCCGACGCTCGTCCGCACGCCTGTGGCGTGCCGCCCGGATTGCCTCCTTCGCGGAGGCCGCCTCGGCCGAGACCTTCACGCCCACGTAGCCGTCGTGCATCGCGGTAGTCAGGTAGCCTCTCTCGGCCTCGAGCTTCGTCAACGCGTCCGCCAGCTGAACGGAGGTGTCGCGCCACTCCAGGTCCACTCCGTCTTGGCTGAGCATCTCTCGTAGGGCCACGGTAACAACTCGATCTCGACGATCTGCGATCTGGCCAGCATCCGCGAGCAGGTGGGTGACTAGGCTGTTCGCGTCATCGAACCACTTGGCGGGGATTAGGGTCGCCACGTCGTCCACCAGATCGCCCAGCGGCTGGTCGGGTTTGTCCATCTCGTAGTACAGCGCCCGGATCCACTCCAACGCTTCAGCTCCTTCACTAAGTCCGTGGGCTTGTGCTCCCATCGAGGCTCTGAAAACTCTCTTGATACGTGAGCTTTCCCAGTCCAAGTAATCCACTGGTCCTTCATGATAATTGCAAAGGCCGTCGTCGCTGAGCAAGCACACGAAACCGAGCTGTGACTTCACCTTCTCGCCTATCGGGCCTAGGTCGTAGTCGTCGACGTTATTGAGGCTGCTGTCCGCGAACACGACTGAGCTTAGGTCTTCATCGTTTTGCAGAATGTCGCTGCGGAAGCAGAGGCACACCTCGCGCGTCTCCTTGCAGTAGCGAACCAGCTTGTTCATCTCCAGTAGGTGCTGCACGGTCGGCTGGTTCTTCTGCTGCGCCAGCCAGCTGTAGCCGAATGAGACGCCCATGCGGAGTTGCCTCGACAGCCATCCGAGTGAGCCAATCACCGACTCAGCGGCACTCCGCTCCTCGTCCGTAGCCATCGCCTTAATCTGCTTCGCCCTGACCGGGGACATCACGACGGCCCCCATCTGGTCGATAAAGTGCGCCATGCTGATCTTGATCGTGTAGTCCGCCAGCTGCTCGACGTCCTTGCCGCAGTACCTGAAGGGCGGTTTCTCCTCCGTCAGCAGAAGCACCCGCTTGAGCTCGTCCGTCGTGGTCTTGAACAGGTTGCTGCTGGGGTCGCCTGTCGCGAACAGGTCGTCCACGCAGGTGCCGACGAGGCCGACGAGCTTGCCGTCCTCGAACAGGAGGAAGAAAGCCCTCTCCAAGCGGCTCTCTTGCCACGAGTTGCTGCGCAGCGTCCTCCGTAGCTTACTCCACCATTTCCTTCCAGCGTCCTTCGTGCCGTAGATCGCGCCGTGGCAGATGAACACCGATCCTGCCTCAACTCCTGGTGGTAGTGGCGAGGGAGGTCGCAGTACGAGCATCCTGTCGACGTCGTCTCCTTGTAGGTAGGCACTCGCGGCGTCGAGCTTGTAGAATGGCCAGTGCTTCCTGGCCGCCGCGCTGCAGATCACGTGGAACACCAGCAAGGACGACGCAGGCGAATCCGTCCTTACGTGGGCCGACTCGTAGCAGCCGACCGCCACCAGCCTGGATTTCGCCTTCAGAGGGAACTTCGGGTAGTACTCGTTCTTGTTCGTGTGTGCCCATCTCGACGGCATCGCATTGACCCGACCCAGCAGCTCCTTGGCCGCGTCGCCCGTGGCCACGGTCACCGCCCTGATGTTGCGCCAGTTGCCCCACTCCTTGGCCGTGCTCGCGTCGGAGAGGAGCTTCTCCGCCTTCGTGAGGTCCGCGAGCTTGAGCTCCTTCCCTCTGGACTTGCCGGTCAGCCAGGCATACTGCATCCAGGCGTAGAAGACCGCGTCCGAGTCGGGCTCCGCCAGGAAGGCTCCAGACATGGGCCCTCCTCGACGCCGCCGCGGCGGCGTGCGCTCTGGCCCGTAGGCCGGAGAGCCAGGCGGAAACTCGCCAGCTCCAGAGGATCTCGGAGGGGGAGTGGTAGGCTCAGGTTGGATATCATCATCGCGATCGATCTCACCACCTCGGTTATCATCATCATCGGGCACCGGTCCGTTTTCACCAGGCACAGGTTCACGCTCGTGCACTGGCTCAAGTACGGGGGCCTGCGGGGTGTGATTCTCGCCCTGCTGCGCCACGCTCGGCTCCAAGCCATGGCCTCCGGGGGCAGAGCTCAAAGGCTCAGGATCGCCGGGGCCAAGTCCCCCGCCCGGGGCCCCCATCGGCCACCTGTGGCGCCGGGACGTGGCTCGGAGCACTGGCGGCTGCAGTCGGTGCTGCCGCCGCCGTTCTGCCTGGTAGCGGGGCCTCCTCGGGGAACTCGGCAGCTCCCTCTTCCAGTCCTTCGCGCCGCACGTCCTGGAATCCGCGAGGTCCTCGTGGTAGAGCAGCGCCCCGCTGATCTACTGGCATCTGGTCCCAGGTGATCAGCTCGCCCTCCGTCGCGAACCTCAGCTGCTCGGGCCTCGCCAAGACCGTGCCTCCACCATACCGTAGCCAAACCGCGCGAGGGCTGCCCTGAACGGCAGCAGGTCGAAGCGCAGCCTTGATCCCGTCGGCCATCTTGTCGGGGTCGCGGAAGTCGTGACCGATCACGCGAGCGACGCCGAACCAGCAGTGGAACAGCGCTGGGGACTCGCCGGGCCTGACGCGCGTCTTCCCGAAGTAGACGTAGGCCCCGGCCGGGATGGGCCCCCTCGTAGGTGTCGACCTCGCTAGTTTCGCTCTCCTCATTCGGTTGCCGTTATCCATCCTCACGATGGCAACCTTGGCCGCCTCGCGCCAGAGCAGGTTGGAGGCCGTCGCGGACTCGGAATCGAGCGCTGCCTCCTGCACGTTCAGCTACTCCGCCTCGGCGTCCTGCAGGATCGAGCCGGGGGCGCGTAGGCCGCGCGTCCCGAACACCCAGTTGGACGGCGCGTAGCCGTCGTAGATCACCGTCTCGTCGCGAACCTGGTTGGTGATCCCGCAGAGCGTCCGAAGGTCCTGCTCCTTCGTAATCTGCGCGTCCTGCACCACGCGGTGCCACACCTCCTTCCAGACGCCACCCAGCCGCTCGATCCTGCCCAGCTGCTCGTGCGCCTCCAGCGCCGCGTTCTCGGCCTCGACGACGTTCTCGAACATGTGAGCCAGGAACTGCTTGGCGAACTCCTTGCCGGTAGCCCGGCCCAGCTGCATCAGATCATGAGGAACACGTCCAGCGCGACCTTGGCCGAGGGCGCATGGGTGCCCTTGCGCAGGTACCAGACCACCTGGAACCGCGCCCCGTCGCACGCGATATTGAGGAACGCGCGGGCGCCGCCCGTAGCGTCGTGGGCGAACAGGGTGTCCAGCATCACGTGGAAGTTGAACTGGCAGCGCCCCGGCATCCGCAACGGGCGGGCGTGCTTCGCCCTGATCATGTCGCCGCAGGCGTCGCACCTGAAGTCCCAGACGGCCTCCAAGAACGCCTTCTTCGCTCCCGATCTCCTCGGGCACCTCGCCAGCGTCACGTCGGTAGGGCGGCCGAAGTTCACGCGCGGGTTGCGGATGTCGCGTCTGGCCGCCGGGTCGACTGCCAGCCACCGCGCGCGCCTCTCCTTCTCCTCGGGGGAGAGCGCGGGCTCGAGGTTCGCCGCCGCCTCGGCCCTGGCGCCTGCCGGGCCCACCGCGGGCCCGTCCTTAACTGGAACTCCATCACGCGGGGGGCCTCCTTGAGTAGGCCGCTCGCCCTCGGGTGCTGAGCGCTTCGCCGCCTGCTGCTTGCCTCGAAGTCGCCGTCGCTTCGACTCTGGGAGCGCCTCCATCGGGTAGCAGTCCACCACGCCGAGCCCCTCGATGACGTGCTCGCTGACGTCCAGGTCGATATGTTGCTCGATCGCGCGCAGGAC